GGCCGGCCGGCACGAGACAGGGTGGGCAGGGCGCGTCCCCTACCTTGCTCTGGGGAGGGGGGGACGGGAGCAGCGCAGAACTGAGGGGTCTCCTCCCAAGCGCCGGGGACGGGGCTCGAAACCGCGCCCCTCCTTCCTCCTCGCCTGTCGCCACGCCCCCCTCACCCTCACGGACCCGAGGCACGATGGGCGCAGGAGGGTTTACCCCCTGAACGAGTGCCTCGGTGATGCCGTCGCTGTCGTTGTCTTCGTCGCCGCTGCAACCGCCACGAACGCCGCGGAGGCCGGGCTTGAAAACATCTCCGGTCTCCGTCCGTCTCTCACCACAGCCTCCTCGCTCCCAGGACAGCGCCGCTCGGCGATTGGCTGCGACACAGGCACGTGACTCCGCGGGCACGGGACGGGCGGCGTGACCGCCCCGCCCCCAGTGCCTGCCCGCCCCTTCCGCCAGCCCCTCCCCGCTACCCCGCCGCTCTTTTCAACTCTATGGAGAAGCTTCCCGAGCCGTGGGGCGGAGGAGTCGGAAGGTACCAAGTGAGAGGCGGCGGGGGTGCAGGCCGGAACTCCTCTCTAGTTGCTCGGCTCTTGCCGCACCCACCCAGTATCGCCGTCTCCCTCCGCCGTCATCGGCCCGAAAACAGAGGGGGAACCTAGGGATGCGCAAGAAAGCAGCGCAGACTCCGCTGACGCTGCGGGGCTGGAGAGCTGTGAAGTCTCTTTTTGTCGCGACCGTGGCAGTGGATGTGACTGGAAACTTCTGGAAATGGCGGCGGCGGTGAAGAGGCTGAACATAGGGTATTCACATGTTATTTTTGCAGGGCGGGTGGGCGAGTTTGTGAGGTCGAACCCGGAAAAATATGTCTAAAGGCAGAGGCAGGGTATCTGCCCCCTAAATTCTCACTTGCGAACGGCTGGACGCGTCGGGCGCCCCCCCCAGCCCGGCCGCGCGGCAGTGCGCTTGCGCGCCGGCGGGACAGCACCTGTACTGAAGCCCAGGGGACCCTGACGCGTGCCGGGAGCTCGGCGGCGCACCGATGCGCCCGCTCTCACCTGCGCCAGGCGGGGTCCCAGTGCCAGTTCGAAAGTGCATTAACGTGCGTCTGTCGCGGGGACATCGTGAACCCCAGAGTACGCTCTCTTCCATTCACACCTTCGAGTGACCTTTTTAGAGAAGCAATTCTCTTCACATCCGAGATAATATTTCAGAGGGAACTAGTTGCTCGAGTACTAGAGAAGAGTGCGTGAGGAAAATTTACGGTCTCGGCCTACCAGCAGCGGGTACTCTTATTTATGGACGCTTTTTATTTACATCGAGGTTAGTCTGCGACACTTTGTACATTACTTAACCACCAAAGGGGTTACATAATCAGATGGAAACCATTTTATTCTGACTTTTATTTACATCGAGGTTAATCTGCCACAGTTTGTACATGCTTTTATTTAACCACCAGAGGGGTTACATAATTGGACGGAAACCACCTCCCTCATCAATAATGGTCTCTAAACTACAGCACCTATTTATGACTTAATGGAGTTACAAATTTGTCACTACTGGACACAAAGCTAAATCTCAACAAATTATATAAATTATAAACTTGCATTAATGATTACTTTTTCCCTTCCTAGTTTCCTGATTTCTCCCACCTATAAAACATTAGATTCAATGTGAAGAATAAGAGAGCACCTTAGGCTAGAGGTGGAATATTGGTACATTTTTTTTTTAAGATTTTATTTATCTGAGTGAGTGAGAGCGAGAGCTTATGGGTGGGGGGAGGGGCAGTGGGAGAGGGAGCAGCAGGTTCCCTGCTGAGCAGGGAGCCCCATGGAGGACCTGAGCTGAAGGCAGATGCTTAACCCACTGAGCCACCCAGGTGCCCCTACTGTTAAATTTAATATGGATATTTATGGCATGAAATACAAAGAAACCCACTAAAAATTTAACCAACTAACATATCTTCAAGTCATTGAGTTCTCATTTAAATCATGGTCATTAGTATTGATGGCAATGGCAATTGCTATTTCTATAGCAGTGCCTCACTTCAAAATTGAAAGGTAAGTAATCGTGAATTTGCTGAAGTAAATTAGCCATAATTTATGGCAATAACTGTATGTACAACCGTATTACTTAAAATTACTGAATATATGGGGTGCCTGGGTGGCTCAGTTGTTAAGCTTCTGCCTTCAGCTCAAGTCATGGTCCCAGGGGTCCTGGGATTGAGCCTGGCATCAGGCTCCCTGCTTGGACGGGAAGACTGCTTCTCCCTCTCCCACTCCCCCTGCTTGTGTGTCTCTGTCAAATAAAATCTTAAAAAAAAAAAAAATCACTGGATATATGAAAGATTCCTAAGACAGCTGTGTTCCAGGGCACTGTATTGACTACACTCAATGGGACAGGTGCAAAAAAATTTCTTAATGTTCATATTAAGATACAGGCAAGTTATAAATGAGCCACAATTTATTATTCAAAAGGTCCACATGATACTTAGGAAGGCAAGAGGAGCTAATTTTCCTTTTCAATGTGAAACTAGAAATACAAATCAAGAAATTATAGCTATTACAGATAGATGTCTCAAAAGAAGTCTGAAGAAAACAAGTTTATATCCACAAGCTAGTTGGTTAGTAAGCTGCTAAGACTTAATTGCATAGCCCTATCTTTTGTTGGCTCAAATCTTCAGTAAGTGGGTAAAATAAGTTTTCATAATAGTACTAAAAGGTCAAGGACCCTAAGCATTAAAACTCAAGTCTTAGCCAAAGTTAAGCAGACACTTAAAACATGTATACAGTTGACTCTTGAACATGGGTTTGAACTGCATGGGTCTGCTCATATATGAAATTTTTTTTAATAGGTAAGGTAGATGTACATTTTCTTTTCTGTAACTTTATTGTGAGAATACAGTATATAATACATGTAACATAGAAAATATGTGTTAACTGTTTCTGTTACCAGTTAACAGTAGACTGTTAGTAAAATTTTGAGGGGAGTTAAAAGTTACAGGAGGATTTTCAATTCGGAGAGAGGTGGGTTGGTGCCCCTACTACCCACCCCAGCCCCCCAACGCAGGGCATTGTTTGAGTCAACTGTATTTGATATCTGAATTAGAAGCCATTCTGCAAAATATACCTTCTTACCATCTTACTTAGTTCTTCACAGCTTTATAATTAAGTTCTGCTACATTAAGTCCAGTTCAGATCATTCAAAAAATCCTGCCATATTTCAGGAAGGTGAATGTAATAAATGAAAAATGCAATCTCAGAGCATAGCTTGTTATATGACTTAGTCTATACATATGTAATGCCTCTGTAGCAAATACGCTTTTAACTGTTACATTATGTGGTATTGGATTTTCTGGAGCAGTGGCCCCATCCAATTACAGCAAGTAATTGTGAGCAATCAGTAGTTTCCTCTAGCAACTTTTAGTAGTTGCTACAAAAAACCGGTATTAGATTGTCAGTGGAGAGAATGATAAATTGTTTATTTTTGTCATTAAAGAGCAGTAAGATTTCCTCCTCAAATACCCCCTTTTTGAAAAACAGCACAGAGTTAGGAACTGAGAAGAGGAAATGAGGGAGCAAGTGGTGGTAAACACACAAACGATGCCTACCTCTCCCTACAGGTTTGAGAAATAGGCCAGGTTTAGCTGTCATCTCTGAAAATGGGTAAGGAAATTTTAATCAGTGCGTTCATATATATTTTAAAACCATCCTGGATTACTGTAATAAAATTTTACCTGCCAGGTGTTTTTAAAAGCTAATCAGAAAACTACCATTAAAACCAGTATTTTAACACTGACAGGGTAAGAAAAATAGGCAAAAAAATTAAGCAAGACTCAAAATCCTAATATATTACTACTGCAATACAACATAAGTGATGATCCAAGAACTACAGAATATGTTTTGATAATGGTATAACAGTATGCCTATAGTTATAATAATCTAAAATTCATTTTCTGTTTCTAAAATATTACATAAAAATTGATAATAGGTGCGTATCCTTAATACATCTTTTTTCACCCAGTATTTGAAGTTTCCCCACTTCTAATTTTTCTTCTAGTAAAAAAAAAAAAATGTCAAAGTAAGGCATTTTTATAAAAGTCAATAGGTCAGGAGGGCCCTAGGATAGAAGAGAGGCATTTTCATTGTGTTACCTTTCTATGCCACTTAAGAAATTATTGTTATTGTTTACCTTCTCATGTAAAAAACAAAAACTTAATTTTTAAAGATATTTTTAAAAATAATCATGTTTTTAAGCATCATAATTACTACTAGTAACTGGTTAGTCTGCCAGAAGAACAAGGCCAAACAAGGACTTGAGAAATCCTGAAATGATTGATTTAGATTTATCCATGCATTCAAGCTATTAATTTTCTTTTCAACTTGCAAAACTAATGCACCATAGCTAGTTTCCTGAATGTATATAATACACAGGTTTATCCTTTGCTCTAAGTTGAAATACGCATTCAACTGAAGAATGTATTTTGCATATCGACTGCTCTTTCCAACTCAGATTGTACTTCGTCTCTTTGCCCAGTTTCTATATACTTGGAGTATACAATAACCAAGTGCCTTCCTTTTATAAAAATGATAAACAACAAAAACTAATGATGTACTATATGGTGATTAACATAACAATAAAAAATTAAAAAAATGATAAACAATACTTCTAGAGACAACTACTTTATCCCTCTTACACCTCTGCTTGAGGTGTCACTTACCAGTTGGAAATATAGTTAACAATTATGCGCTGTAAATTTAAAAATGTTTAAAGGGAGGACTAACATAAACAAGGTCTATAGAAAGATCATGTTAAGACTTGGCTTTAAAGATGGAAAAGCAAAATGTATGTGAAATTTGACACAGTTTTCACTTCACAATAATCTAATATTATTGATAAAAGTGACCTGGCAGTTGAAAATGGATGACATTGGAGTGACTGTTAACTACATTATAAAATAATGTCTTCATAGTTAGCCAGAGATAGCAAAAGACTAAAATGGTACTCCGAAGTTTCAACATGACATTTATATAGCAAGTTGCTAGGTATACACCATGAAATGAACAAATAATATAAAAAGTTTATGTAGATAGGAGATTCATTTTTATTTCTCCAGTGACAATATTCACACTTGAATATAAATTAAAGTCCTGCTTGGACACCAAAGCCAGGTCCTTTGGGTGGTTCAGTCAAAGAGGTAAGACCTCCAGCTGGCTCACAAGAGAAGCGTCCACTCCTGAAAAGAGCAAGTAACATTAAACTATTAATGATTACCATTTATAAATCTTTACCTAAAAAAATAATTGTTACTTCACAACAGCCCAGTTAAGTAACTATTTCTCATCCAAGAGTTGCATGGATTATTTAATTCAAATATTTCAACTGCTGCAAGATTTTCAAAAGTTAAATATGAAAACGGACATACCAAAACTCACCATAAATATGAAAAATAAAAAAGTAACACTACTAGTTCCATTTACTGAGCAGTGTACATATATTATTAGCTCATTTAATCTTTACAACAATGCCATGAGTCAAGTAATACTGGCCTTATTTTACAGATATAAAAATGAAGGCTTAGGGGATTCACCATCTGTCCAAGGATCAGAGCTAAGAACTATAAGAAAATAACACAGGCCCAGAGAACATTTTTAAAAAACATGCTTTAGGGGCGCCTGGGTGGGTCAGTTGGTTAAGCATCTGACTCGTGATTTCAGCTCAGGTCATGATCTCAGGGTTGTGGGATGGAGCCCTGCATTGGGCTCAGCGTGAAGTCCGCTTGAGATTCTCTTCCTCTCTCTAAAATAAATAAATAGGGGCACCTGGGTGGCTCAGTTGGTTAAGCAGCTGCCTTCACCTCAGGTCACGATCCCAGGATCCTGGGATGGAGCCCTGCATCGGGCTCCTTGCTCAGTGGAGAGCCTGCTTCTCCCTCTCCCTCTGCCTGCCGCTCCCCCTGCTTGTGCTCTCTTTCTGTGTCAAATAAAAAAAATTAAATCTTTTAAAAAAATCCTGTTTTAATAAACTAGAGCATTACATTTATTCTTTTTATATTTGAATTTTACTTAGATTGAGATCCACAATCACAGTGAACAGAAGAGAATACAGACTTATACGTTATATTCAGAAATAAACAGAGGAATTAAAGGAAATGGGAATTTGAAGATTTAGGAAGGGTGTTCCTTAGAGGCACTGAAAACAATTGGTATTGTTTGGTATACTGAAAACAGTATATTGGTATTCATATTTTTAAAAGCAATATTAGTAGTATTAACTTTTCAAAAACAGGTTCCAGACCAGAGTAGCTACCCACAGCCACAAAGAAAACAGGAACAGGTCCTTAGGTAGAATCTATGAAGAGAGGTAAGCAGAGAGGTAGAAGAACCTGTCTTTTGTTCACCCCCACACATACTTTCCCAGGTAATCACTCACCTCTGCCCCTGTCTGACCTCTGTTGCTAGAGCCCAGGCTCACACCCACTCCTATTTCGCCCCTCCTATTTCCTGGCTTTGTTAATTTACCTGTTCCTGCCACAGATTTCAGCTGAAGAATTGTTCAGTTTACATCTTTTTTTACTCCTTGCTTTGCCCTTCACATTTGTCATCAATCTTACAAGTTTCTTTTTAGAGCCCCAGGAAATCATTTTTTGTTCAGGGGACAGGACAGGGATACCACATAATCTATTACGTTACACAATGCAAGTAACTAAGTCGTGTATTGTAATGAAGAGTGCCTACAAAGTCAGAAATTATATTTGCATTATAGGTTCACTATGAAAACCAGATCAAAAAACAGTTACTGTGAACTATCTGTCTGAATCTAAAATTAATGTAGGGTAAGTGGCAAAATGGTATCTAAACTTAATAAAAAACAGTATTTGGCTTTGTAATTTTTTTATGTTAACTAATAACACAGGTATACTTGCTGCTCTTTGCTAATGAAATAATGAAATTATTTTGGAGGAACTTTCTTCTTCCCCTTTACTAGGTTCCCTCTATGGTTTAAGCTCAGCTACTTCTTTACCAACACAAAGGATTCACTTAGGAAGATTATAAAAACTGAGGTTTTGAGAACAATAAATGGGAGAATTAATCATGCACACTGCCTGAACTTTTTTTTTTTTAAAGATTTTATTTATTTATTTATTTGAGAGAGAGAGAGAAACAGCATGAGAGGGGAAAGGGTCAGAGGGAGAAGCAGGCTCCCCGCTGAGCCAGGAGCCTGATGTGGGACTCAATCCCAGGACTCCGGGATCATGACCTGAGCCGAAGGCAGTTGCTTAACCAACTGAGCCACCCAGGTGCCCCTGCCTGAACTCTTTAAGGAATTTTGGACTTTTGTATAAGAAAGTAATTTCAAGAGTAATCTGGTCCATTTTCTTAAGTTTATTCCATGCAATTACAGTCCCATGACCTACACTTCAGTGCGGGGGGAGGGCAGGGGAGGTTTCAATGGCCTTTTATGTCTGCCTGCAAACTTTCTCCTTCCCTCACCCTTCACAAAATGCACATTAAAATGCTATAAAGGCTGTAAAGTCCACAGATTGTGTTTCATCTACTAATCATATAACTTTCCCCTCATTTTATCTGTAAATATACATCAAACACCAGAGGCATCACGTGATCTAGCCCTTCCATTCACAATTTACACTAGGGTTTTCACTTCATAAAAAACAAAAAATGATTCACGCCTCAAGTGTTATGCTTAAAATGCCATCTATTAATTACCTTGTTCTTACTACAACTCAAAAGGTAAATCTGGTTTTTTAACCATTCCAACACTACTTGTACATTCATCATTTTAACTTATTTGCATTGTAGAAAACTTGGCCTTTCTGTACATTATGGCTTAGAAGTACTTTTTAAAGAAAAGCCACTTTATGAAAGATTAGTGCTTATCTTTTTAATATTGCTAAGATATACCCACCACTGCCCTCTACTTTTAGTATAAAAAAACAAGTGACTTTACAGTCTAGAGTTATCCATAAGCAACCACCTATATTTTCTTTACACATCATATTATCTATACCCCATAGAATTCTGCAAAAAGGTATCTTTATAAAACTAAATATGAAGAATTCAAACTGGACTTAAAATTAGTTTTAGTTAGCCATACTAAAAAACAACTTCTACTTTTTAATTAGTAATTTCAAAGCAGGTTAAGAAGTTATTTTTGGTACTTAAAAGAAAATGAAAATAACAATCTCAGCACAAATATTTAATGTCAAAATAAAGCACTGCCTTACCATCAGTTTAATATTTCCTTTCTACTCATCATTTACCAAAAACATAAAGAAAGCAGTTCTGAACCACATAGAGACATGAATCTTTTCCTGATTTTGGCCAGGGTAGATCTGGTAATGGTACTCAGAAATCAGGTACTGCTGAACCAGTTTAATTTCTCCAGTTTTTCAAGGACTCACAATGAGCACCTCTTTTACATATGTGAGCAGAGTGCTTTATTATAAAAATAGTAATAAAAAAAGAATTAGCCAGCTTTGGTTAATTTAAAGTGTAACTATAATAGTATTTTGGAGTATAACTATAATTATATTTTGGTTACTACTATAATTGCAGTCTCTTTCATTATACTATATATCCAAAAAACTTGGAGGAGAGGAAAAGTTTTTGTCTTCCAATGCTGGGAAGACATTCTAGAACTACCGTGTCCAAATACAGTCTCTATAGACACCACTTGTAGGTGCTCTGCAATTACTGAAAAGTAAGTAGATTTATCTCCGCTTTTTATTTTTTTTAAGATTTATTTATTTTAGAGGGAGAGCACGTGGGGGGGAGGGGCAGAGGGAGAAAGAATCCTCAAGCAGTCTCCCCACTGAGTGCAGAGCCTGACTTGGGGCTCCATCCCAGGACCCTGAGGTCATGACCTGAGCTGAAACCAAGTGTAGGCTGCCTCTCAACTGACTGAGCCACCCAGGTGCCCCTATCTCTGTTTTTTAAATAAGAGGGGCTACAAAGGAAATAAAAATAGGTTCAGAAACCAGTAATTCTGAAGTTTTTGGCTCAAATCTAGAACACTCAAAAAAATCCCAGTGAAGAACTATTTACAATTACTGACAAGCAACATCTCTATTTAAAAATGCTTAACTGTGGGGCGCCTGGGTGGCTCAGTTGGTTAAGCGACTGCCTTCGGCTCAGGTCTTGATCCTGGAGTCCCAGGATCGAGTCCCACGTTGGGCTCCCTGCTCAGCGGGGAGTCTGCTTCTCCCTCTGACCCTCTCTCCTCTCATGCTCTCTCTCTCTCAAATAAATAAAATATTAAAAAAATATATCATTCTTAAAAAAATAAAAAATAGAAATGCTTAACTGTGGTACTTATTAATGTTAAAATACAATGATGTTATAGTATCCTATGTTAAAAACACCAACAAACTAATTTCACCCCCAGTAATCTCATCCAGCCTTAACAGCTTTAAATACCATCTATAATAACTGATGAATCCCCAATTCATATTTCCAGTCCTAATCTATTTCCTAAATTCCAGGTTCAAATATACCTTTCAGCATTCTACCATGGATGTCTAGGAGGCATCACAACTTTAACCTGTCCCAAACAAAGTGACTTTTCTTCTTCAAACTTGCTCTATCCCAAATTTCCTTTTTAAAGGAACCACTGAGGTGCTCAGACCAAAAAGCTAGAAATTACTCATAATTCCTCTGCCCCACAACATGCACTAAATTTTAAACTATTCGCCACACAGTAACTAGCACAATAATTTTAACAAGATTACACATCATTTCCTGCTTTTTGAAAACACTCCTACAACAGCTTTTATTATATTTAGAATTCAACTCAAATTATGTATCTGGGCCCCTATCTACCTCTTGAGAGCGTACACAGAACTGCTAGAGAGCAGGAAAACATATTTAAAACAGGAATAAAGGGCACATTATAGTTCTTTTAATACATTAAAATACTACATGGCCATTAAACCCTACACATACAATGAGAGAAGGAAAATTATATGGCATAAACAGAAAAAAACAAAGGGCTTAAAACTACATAAAACTACAAACACTTGCTAGTATTAGAAAAAAATTCTGAGCAATATAAGCACTCAGATATGGAATAGGGGTTTGTTTAGCAGCAAAAGTTCAGGTTCATAACTGAAAGAAAAGTAATTAGTATAACACAACTGCAAGATGGGAGCAACTTGGATGAACAGTTAAGTTAAAAAAGATCTAAGCATTCTGACTGACTATAAGTACAATTATTGGTGAAATGTACCTGAAGTGAGAGTTGATGTAATTAGGCTGCATTATTATAAGCATAATGTCTAGAACAAAGATAGTCCCACAATGCTCTGCACCGCTCAGTACATATCTCAAATACTGTGATTAGTGGAAGTATCAAGTTAAGAAAGCCAGAAAAGCTACAGAAGAGGGAAACCAAAACTATGTCATATAAAGAAAAAAAATGAAGCAACGGTAGACATTAATTCTGAGAAAAAGATTTGGGGAAGAGAAGACATCTATTTTAAGTAAAGGAAGAGCTATCATTTAGAAGAGGTATAAAAGTTACCTTGTGTCAGTTCAAAGGGCAGAATTGGACATGTAGGTGGAAATTAGAGGGAGACAGACTTTGGGTCAATCTTCTGGCAGACAGTATGACCTTTAAACAGTGGAATAGATTTTTATTTGTAGTAAATTCCCCTTCTCTCTAAATATTCAAGTAGATACCAGATGATTATCTGAGAGGATTTTAGAGGGAAAAAAATAGTTGCTTTAGATGACAGATTGCTTTCAATACTATCCAAAGCTCCTGACAACTCCAAAGCTCCAACAACTTAGGGGATAATTTTTTTTTTGAGAAAGGGATTGGAGGGTGGTTAGGGGTTAATGGAGAGGGTGAGAGAGAATCTTAACTCCACACTGGAATGGAGGGCTCGATCTCACAACCCTGAGATCATGACCTGAGCTGAAATCAATGCTTAATTTACTGAGCCACCCAGTTGCCCCTTAAGAGATAAAATTAAAAAAAAATTTTTTTTTAATTTTTAAAAAAGATTTTATTTATTTGACAGAGAAAGAGAGCACAAGCAGGGGGAGCTGCAGGCAGAGGGAGAGGGAGAAGCAGGTTCCCCACTGAGCAGGGAGTCCAATGGGGGACTCAATCCCAGGATCCTGGGATCATGACCTAAGCTGAAAGCAGACACTTAACTGACTGAGGCACCCACACACCCCTAGGGATAATTTTTTTTTTAATTAAGTTTACATTAGGTTAAGCCATTAAAATTTATTGTATAGAAATAAAAGCATACCTTGGCCCAGGTTTTGGAATTTTGCCAGCTTTGAGCTCATCAATAATTTCTTCGATATCCTTAGGTGTCAGATCCTCCTAGAATAAAAAATTAAAATTACTTCCTATTACTGAAATCTATATAAATCCCTAATATCAGTTAGTTTATTGTTTTTCTGTCTTTCTCAGCTCCCAAGTTAGTCACCAAGGTAGCAGTAACTGATTAACTCCTATGTATAGTATATACTGTTAAATGCAGTATGCAAGAAGAGCTGCGGCTGAAGAGGCAATACAGAGTAGTACTTTCAAGTGAAAGAGTTCTGCATTTGAGTCCTGACTCCCAACATTTAATAGCTAGTAATCTTAAATAAGTTATTCAGCCTCCTTAAGTTTGTTTACTCACTTGTAAACGTACTTCAAGAATGTTTTTGAGGATTCAGTGAGAAAATACATAGAACAGTGCATGACACATGCTCAACAAATGCTGTCCTTGAAGAGTGAGGTACAAATAGTAATTAGCACCAGCAGTCATAATAACATAAAAGTAGATGCCTAACATCTATCTCTAATCTAAAGATAAAATACTCTCATGATATCTTCCTTCTTTCCCATGTAAAATTCACCGTTTCCAAATTCACTTAATTTTTGAACAGAAAGGTAAATTATTTTTGGAACATATCTTAATGACCCTGACCCTCCAGTCCCCATTTCAATGACAGCAGCTCTATATTTTATACACTATGTACCTGTGTAAAATTTTTACCTCAAGGGTTCTGATATTTAAAATAATAACAGTTGAAACACACAGATACACATGCCCATGTGCCTAGCTGCACCCTAAGTTTAATCAAAGAGTCAAAATAGAATGGGTATGATTAAACTAAAAGAAAAATGCCTAAACCATACTCCTACTCCCTCTCTAAAACTGTTAAGTACTTAAGAAAATGTTTTATAGGACTCTGATACTATGCTAGAGAAATCGTGATTCAGCACTGCATCTCCAGTGCCTCACCACATAGAAGTTCTTTAATATTTGTTCAATGCTTAAACATTTATAAAAATAAAACACTGCTTTCAAACTGCTTGGGTTCAACAAATGTTCAGAACCTCATACCTAAAAGGAATCTTTTAAGTCATCTAATGATTTTATCTCCAACTTTTTATTATGAAAATTTAAAAACAATACATGAATACCCATATTCCTACCACCTGTATTCAACAACCCAGGATGCTGCAGTACAGCAGCACAGACAGAAACGGAGATAGTTGGCCTGGAGAATTCACTGAAGAACAGTCTGCGATCTCTCCGCTCTGAGGCAGGGGGTTGGAAACAGTCTCTTGTGCTCTCTTGGAAGAGACTTGGAAAGCTGCCAGAGAACAAAAGCCCCCAAAAAACGGTTTCCACTGAGCCTATCCCTAGCCACAGGGAGCAGGGCAACTCTGCCCAAACAGGGTTGCCCGAGTAACAGCACGGCAGGCCCCTCCCCCAGAAGACAGGCTGGGAAAACAAGAGACCAGCAACCTCCAAGGTCCCTAGAAAACAGGTGCATCTCGCTTGGGTTGTGGTCAATAATTTGGACTCTATACATTCCCTCAACCACCCCTCAACAAAATGACTAAGAGGAACCCTCAAAATAGGAGTCAGAGACTATGACTTATGCCACAGATTTACAAATGGATGCAGATATAACCAAGATGTTGGAGATGGAATTCAGGCTGGCAATTGTGAAGACGAATGCTAGGATGGAGAAATCGATTAATGGCAACATAGAGTCTCTAAGGGCAGAAATGAAAACCGAACTGGCAGAACTTAAAAATGCTATCAATGAGATCCAATCTAATCTAGATCATCTAACAGCTAGGGTAAGCGAGACAGAAGAACAAATTAGTGATTTAGAAGACCAATTAATAGACAAGAAGGAAAAGGGGAGGCCAGGGAAAAACAACTCCGAATCCATGAAAATAGAATCAGAGAAATAAGTAACACCATGAAACGTTGCAATGTCAGAATTATTGGGATCTCTGAAGGGATGGAGAGAGAGAAGACTAGAAGATATATTTGAACAAATCGTATCTGAGAACTTCCCTAATCTAGGGAATGAAACAAACATTCATGTCCTAGAGGCAGAGAGGACCCCTCCGAAGATCAAGGAAAACAGGCCCACACCCCCGAATGTAACAATAAAACTTGCAAATCTTAGAACCAAGGAAACCATCTCAGGGGCAGTTAGGGGGAAGAGATTCCTTACTTACAGAGGGAGGAATATCAGAATAACGTCAGACCTATCCACAGAGACCTGGCAAGCCAGAAAGGGCTGCAAGACGTATTCAGGGTACTAAATGAGAAGAACGTGCAGCCAAGAATACTTTTTCCAGCAAGGCTGTCATTTAGAATGGACGGAGAGATGCAGAGCTTCCATGACCAGCAGAAACTGAAAGAATATGTGACCACTAAGCCGGCCCTGCAAGAAATATTAAGGGGGGGGTTCTATAAAAGGAGAAAGACCCCAAGAGTGATATACAACAGAAATTTACAGTGACAATCTATAAAAACAAGGTCTCCACAGGCACCATGATGAGAATTAATTCATATCTTTCAATAATCACTCTCAACGTGAATGGCCTAAATGCTCCCATAAACGGCACAGGGTTGCAGATTGGATAAAAAGGACCCATCCATATGCCGTCTACAACAGACTCATTTTGAACCTAAAGATACATCCAGACTGAAAGTGAAGGGATGGAGATCCATCTTCCATTCCAATGGACCTCAAAAGAAAGCTGGGGTAGCAATTCTTATATCAGACAAATAAGATTTTAAACTAAAGGCTGTAGTAAATATCTACACCTCCAACATGGGAGCAGCCATCTACATAAGCCAACTGTTAACCAAAATAATCATATTGATAACAATACATTAATTGTAGGAGACCTCAATACTCCACTCTCGGCAACAGACAGATCATCTAACCTGAAAATCAACAAAGAAACAAGAGCTCTGAATGACACACTGGACCAGATGGACCTCATAGATATATACAGAACATTCCACCCTAAAACAACAGAATATTCATTGTTCTCGAGCACACACAGAACTTTCTCCAGAACAGACCACATACTGGGTCACAAATCAGGTCTCAACCGATACCAAAACACTGAGATTATTCCCTGCATCTTCTCAGACCATAATGCTTTAAAACTGGAACTCAATCACAAGAAAAAATTTGGAAGAAATTCAAACACTTGGAAACTAAAGACCACTTTGCTCAAGAATGTTTGGGTCAACCAGAAAATCAAAGAAGAACTTAAACAATTCATGGAAACCAATGAGAATGAAAACACATCAGTCCAAAACCTATGGGATACTGCAAAGGCGGTCCTAAGGGGGAAATACATAGCCATCCAAGCCTCACTCAAAAATATAGAAAAATCCCAAATTCACCAACTAACTACACCTTAAAGAACTAGAGAAAAAGCAACAAATGATGCCTAAGCCACGCATTAGAAGAGAAATAATTAAGATTAGAGCAGAGATCAATGAATTAGAAACCAGAAACACAGTAATCAAATCAACAAAACTAGAAGCTGGTTCTTTGAAAGAATTAATAAAATCGATAAACCAGGGTGCCTGGGTGGCTCAGTTGGTTAAGCGACTGCCTTCGGCTCAGGTCATGATCCTGGAGTCCTGGGATCGAGTCCCGCATCGGGCTCCCTGCTCAGCAGGAAGTCTGCTTCTCCCTCTGACCCTCTTCCCTCTCATGCTTTCTATCTCTCATTCTCTCTCTCAAATAAATAAATAAAATCTTTAAAAAAAAAAAAGATCGATAAACCACTGGCAGACTTAATGCAAAAGAAAAGAGAAAGGACCCAAATTAACAACATTATGAATGAAAGGGGAGAGATCACAACTAACATCAAGGAAATAGAAACAATTATTAGAAATTATTATCAACAACTATATGCCAATAAATTGAGCAACCTGGAAGAAATGGATGCCTTCCTGGAAACCTATAAACTCCCAAGACTGAAACAGGAAGAAACTGACAACCTGACTAGGCCAATAACCAGTAACGAGACTGAAACAGTGATCAAAAACCTCCCAAAAAACAAGAGTCCAGGGCCTGATGGATTCCCTGGGGAGTTCTACCAAACATTCAAAGAAGAAATAATACCTATTCTCCTGAAACTGTTTCAAAAAACAGAAACAGAAGGAAAGCTTCCAGACTCATTCTATGAGGCCAGCATTACCTTAATCCCCAAACCAGGCAAAGACCCCATGAAAAAGGAGAATTTCAGACTGATATCCCTGATGAATATGGATTCCAAAATCCTCAACAAAATCCTAACTAATAGGATCCAACAATACATTCAAAGGATCATCCACCACGACCAAGTGGGATTTATCCCCAGGATGCAAGGGTGGTTCAACATTTGCAAATCAATGTGATAGAACACATTAATAAGAGGAGAGAGAAGAACCATATGGTCCTCTCAATTGACGCAGAAAAAGCATTAGACAAAAATACAGTATCCTCTCCTGATTAAAATTCTTCAGAGCATAGGGACAGAGGGAACATTCCTCAAGTTCATAAAATCCATCTATGAAAAACCCACAGCAAATATCATCCTCAAGGAGGAAAAGCTGAGAGCCTTTCCCTTAAGATCAAGAACACGACAAGGATGCCCACTCTCGGCACTATCGTTCAACATAGTACTAGAAGTCCTAGCAACAGAATCAAACAAAAAGAAATAAAGGGTATACAAATTGGCAAAGAAGAAGTCAAACTCTCTCTCTTCGCAGATGACATGATACTTTATGTGGAAAATCCCAAAAGACTCCACCCCCAAATTACTAGAACATATAGCAATTCAGTAATGTGGCAGGATACAAAATCAATGCACAGAAATCAGTTGCTTTCTTATACACTAACAACGCAACTGTAGAAAGAGAAATTAGAGAAACGATTCCACTTACATTAGCACCAAAAACCATAAGATACCTAGGAATAAGCCTAACCAAAGAGGTAAAGGAACTATAGAACACTCATGAAAGAAACTGAAGACGACACGAAAAGATGGAAAAACATTCCATGCTCATGGATCAGAAGAATAAACATTGTTAAAATGTCTATGCTACCCAGAGCAAACTATAACTTCAATGCCATCCCAATCAAAATTCCAATGACATTTTTCAGAGTGCTGGAACAAACAATTCTAAAATTTGTATGGAATCAGAAAAGACTCTAAATCGCCAAGGAAATGTTGAAAAACAAAGCTGGGGGCATATGTTGCCTGATTTCAAGCTATATTACAAAGCAGTGATCACCAAGACGGCATGGTACTGGCACAAAAACAGACATATAGACCAATGGAAGAGAATAGAGAGCCCTGATATGGACCCTCAACTCTATGGCCAAATCATCTTTGACAAAGCAGGAAAAAATACGTAATGGAAAAAAAAAACCAGTCTCTTCAGTAAATGGTGCTGGGAAAACTGGACAGCTATATACAGAAGAATGGAACTTGACCATTCTCTAACACCATACACAAAGATAAACTCAAAATGGATGAAAGACCTCAATGTGAGACAGGAATCCATCAAAATCCTAAGGCAGTAACCACTTTGACATCAGCCACAGCAACTTCTTTGAAGATACATCTCCAAAGGCTAGTGAGACAAAAGCAAAAATGAACTTTTGGGACTTCATCAAGATAAAAAGCATCTGCACAGCAAAGGAAACAGTCAACAAAACAAAAAGACAACCCACAGAATGGGAGAAGATATTTACAAATGACACTACAGATAAAGGGCTGGTATCCAAGATCTATAAAGAACTTCTCAAACTCAACACCCAAAAAACAAATAAGTCAAAAAATGGGCAGAAGACATGAACAGACATTTCTCCAAAGAAGACATACGAATGGCTAACAGACACATGAAAAAATGTTCATCACCATTAGCCATCAGGGAAATTCAAATCAAAACCACACTGAGATACCAGTTAGAATGGCAAAAATTGACAAGGCAAGAAACAACAAATGTTGGAGAGGTTGTGGAGAAAGGGGAACCCTCTTATACTGTTGGTGGGAATGCAAGTTGGTACGGCCACTTTGGAAAACAGTGTGGAGGGTGCCTCAAAAAATTAAAAATAGTGCTACCCTATGACCCAGCAATTGCACTCCTGGGTATTTACCCCAAAGACACAGATGTAGTGAAAAGAATGGCCATATACACCCCAATGTTCATAGCAGCTATGTCTGCAATAGCCAAACTCTGGAAAGAGTCGAGATGCCCCTCAGCAAATGAATGGATAAAGAAGATGTGGTCCATATATACAAGGAGTATTACTCAGCCATCAGAAAGGCTGAATACCCAACTTTTACATCCACATGGATGGGACTGGAGGAGGTTATGCTAAGTGAAGTCAAGCTGAGAAAGTCAATTATTATATGGTTTCACTTATTTGTGGAACATAAGGAATAGCATAGAGGACATTAGAAGGAAGGGAAAAATGAAGGGTGGGAAATCGGAGGGAGAGATGAACCATGAGAGACTATGGACTCTGAAAAACAAACTGAGGGTTTTAGAGGGGAGGGGGGTGGGGGATGGGTCAGCCCAGTGATGGGTATTAAGGAGGGCACGTACCACATGGAGCACTGGGTGTTATACGAAAACAATGAATCATGGAACACTACATCAAAAAATAATGATGTATTGTATGGTGACTAACATAACATAACAAAATAAAATTAAAAAAAAAAAGGAGAGAAAACCTAGGAAGACCGGTGGAACACCAAGCAAACCTCGTTTCAGCATTTCATAGCCCAAAGTGTCAAGGGACAAAGCTGCAGGCTATAGGACACATACCAAACACGCAAAGTTAAGACCCTAAAAGGCTATTGCCTCAGGAGTAAACTAGATATTAAACTGTTCCTCAAAAAGAACTGCTAGTCTAGAACCTTACACATTGGAGCAACAGGGGATGGTATAAGGAGAGGAGCTTTCTTTTGGAACAGTAGTATTTATAGGATCAAGAAAGAAGTAAAGCAAATACCTTCCTGATGAATCCACACACAGTGCAGGAATCAATTTCCATGAATAAATTTCTCAGAAGTATGAACTAATAATGTATGAAAACCATTATATATAATTAGGGTAGCAAGAAATCTTTTAAAAAGATAACGAGAAAATCCCACACACTTGGGAGACTAATACTTCTAAAAATCACAGGCCAAAGGAGAAATCAAAATGCATATTTTAGGGATGCCTGCATGGCTCAGTCAGTTAAGCGTCTGCCTTTGGCTCAGGTCATGATCCCAGGGTGCTGGGACTGAGCCCCACATTGAGCTCCCTGCTCAGCGGGGAGCCTGCTTCTCCCTTTCCCTTTGCGCCTCCCTCCCCCCCCCATGCATGCTCGCTCTTCCTCTCAAATAAAGAAATAAAATCTTTTAAAAATGCATATTTAAAAATATTTAGAACTAAATGATAAAAATATTACTTATCAAAACTTGTGAGATCCAGCTATAAAGCAGTACTTATAGGAATGATACCATCTCTAAAATTTTTAAAACAAGCAATATAATATATTAGTATGGCTGGATACATATACTCAAGGAGTTTAAAAACATGGACAGGAAGAATACACCCTAAATTTATGACAGTGGTTATCTGTGGAAATGAAAGGAATAGGATTTTGGGGGCATAGGGGTGGTTTACCTGCATCTGTAGCTTACTTCTATTCTACAAATAATAATAATGATGATAAAAACAATAATACCTAGTAACAGTAAGTAGATATTTTATATCTGTTAAATCTTGGTGGTTATTTTCTGTATTTCTATGAAAATTATTTTTCATAATTTAAAAGCTTTTAAAATATGTCATCATCTCCTGGAGTTAAATGCAAAATGTTTAAAGATAATTTTTAAAAACCTTCTGGTGGACAACAATGTGGAAGCTAAACTTGACATATTTTTATGCAAAGCTTTTCAATTCTTTGTTTTTTAATAAACTTTGGAAAACAGAAAAAAAAACCTTCTGGATATTTATGCAGTTTCTTCTAAATGAGTAATTCAGAAACTTACATCTACAGGAAAGGAAACCAAATATTTAAAATATTTTAAATATGAGATCATACAACTTTAATTTATATTAAATACTCACATAGTAGTTGTCATTTATTTGAACCATTGGTGCATTTACACAGGCCCCTAAACATTCCACCTCTATAAGAGTGAAAAGTTTATCAGGTGTAGTCTCCCCGACCTTTATTCCTAAAAATATAAATAATCACTGTAAGGACCAGGTTATATTTTAATAGCAATGTGGCTTAAGAAAACAACAACAAATTACAGAGGTATACAAAAAGTACTGAAGAACATTAACTTTCTTCAACAAAACAACTCTGTATAATTATACCAGAACATTCAAGGATTTCTTAAATGGACTTATTCCTTTAAAAACAGTTAAGATTTCAGGGGACTCATCTCCAGTGTTTGCTGTTATAGAGCAGTATATCAGAATATAGTATGTTCATTTTGATTGTGATAGTTAACGTACTATTATCAGTCACACTATCAGATTGCCAAAGACTCAGAAAACTGCTAATGTCAAAGATCATTAAGACTACAAAGAAAACATACTCTCCTATCTTCAGGGAAGACATTCTGGCAAAATATAGTAAAATTTGACTCAACAATTCTATTCTTGTAAACAACCTCGGTATACAATAGGACAATCATGCAAAGATATGTATGCATGAAAGTAACTGCAGAATAACTTAGAAAAACAAGGCAGGCATATATATGCTACAGCCAAAATAAAGTACAAAAAGCAAATAGACATATTTGTGTTTTTAATAATGAAAATAAGCAAAACAACATAAAATCTAAAACCAATTATACCCAACTATTAGAATTTCTGAGGGTGAAATTTTGAGCAGACTCCAGCTTTCTGTTTTATATACTTCAATAGAGCCCAACTATTTTTACAACATGCAAATACTTTATATTCGGTAGCAACAAGATTAAAGTATACCTCCTTTTACTTCATTTGATATGTAGAGCTATAAATGCAGCAATGGCAGTTTTATATGGAAAAATGTTCTTATAATTTTATAAATGCCACTCTAATAACATCTTATTTCAAATTTCCCTTTCTGAAGCATTCTTACTGTTCTCGTATCTTATTTGTTCCAAGACTCATTTGGAAGAATACAAGGACAATAAAATCACTTTTTTATGTACCACATGCTATTATTACACAGTGAGTGAAACTTAATTTCTAAACAATGAAAACTTTAAAACCCCTAGAAGCTTTTCAAACATACTTAATGATTATGGGGAAAAAGAGGTGAAAATTCAACTTTGAGGCTGAGAACTAAGGAAAAATACAAAATAAGAAAAAATAAAGGTGGGCAACCACAGTAAGACAAAAATTTACTGAAGTACAGATCAGATCCAATAAGATGGCAAACACTGGAAAACTCGGGTAGAAATGGGTCAAATCTAGACAGACAATCCTATTTTTCATAGAAGTTATAAATACAATGTGTCCCATACCAAGCTTTTTCTGAATGGCCTCCAGAATGCTGTCAGAGTTTCGAAGCATGCAAGGTGTAGTAGTGCAGACCTGAATGTGATACTTTCCAACTGGCTTTCGATTATACATTGTATAAAAAGTTGCTACTTCATATACTCTCATTGGAGGTACTTGTAAAACTTCTGCAACCTAAAATATTAGGAAATTTTTAAATAATTACAATGTTTATTAATTGAGATTTAGGTATGTTGTAAAGAGCATAATTTCAATTTGGTAAAAATGTAAAACTTCTTCATAATCAGAAAATATACTTGTACTTGATATTTGGGAGGTATAAGTCCTTCTACACTTAAATCGCACAGAGCCCAGAAGCTAACGGTTACAGCACCTCCTCCACTTTACCCCATGCCCCATCTCTGCAAAAATGATCTTCTTTTTCTCTAAATCTTTAAGTCTTTCACTGTTAAGAATTTCTACTTTGATCATTTCAACTCTCATATTTTATAATTTAAAATTTCTAAATAGCAAAAATTTGGTGACCATGCCCCAATAAATTAAATACTTGTATGTTTTCAACCCTTCACCAATTTTTTAAATGGATTTTTTTTTTAAAGATTTTATTTATTTATTTGACAGAGAGAGACACAGCGAGAGAGGGAACACAAGCAGGGGGAGTGGGAGACGGGAGAAGCAGGCTTCCCGCCCAAGCAGGGAGCCCGATGCGGGGCTCAATCCCAGGACCCTGGGACCACGACCTGAGCCGAAGGCAGACGCTCAACGACTGAGCCACCCAGGCGCCCCAACCCTTCACCAATTTTTTAAAAAGCCTTGATGTTACTAGTGATGTACACTGCATGCAAATGGTATGGCAACACAAAAAAGGGGCGAGAATCAAAACTCACCTATTAGTATTGATTTACATATCTACACACTTTATATACACACAAACCACACACACAACACATACATAACTCTCCAGAACAATCCAAAAACACTACTTCTATTTCAAATTGCAACACTCTACAAAAATCGTATGGACTAGTACTTCCCAACCCTTCAAATCAAGGTATTTATAGTAAATATTTCTTTTGACACAGTGGTGTTCAGAACCAAGGGAATCATTATCTGAGCACAACTCTCTTGATCAGGGCAAGTCTATTAAGGAAAACAAGGTTGTTTTAGCTGTTTGCCAGGGATAGTCCACATATAGTCTATTATGACTATCATCCTGGCTACAACTTTACAGGTGACCTAACATCATTAATCTATCTGGTCATAAGATTTGATATCTGGCATTCTTAAAAATTATGCATATTTCCATGTTTTGACATAAAAGATGAGTTTGTTAAATGGCATTTCAGATGACAAATATGTTGAACTTTCTCATATTAGAGATTCTAAAGGATATGTATTCTCAAAAGACATCTAATCATGGCTCACTTGTGAAAGTAACTATGCTAAATTTAATTTGGTGACACTAAACCAGGCATGTACCTCTGAATCTGGGAGCTCTCTCAAAACACACATGCTGGAGCCAGAAAATACACACGCTGGAGCTCTACCACTGATGCCTAACTGAAAAAGCTCCCCTGGGGATGCTGCTATCTCCCTACACCTTAGTGATGGTTAAGGTACTAACGTGTGAGCTTCTGGGTATTGTTTTGGTCGTAAGGTTGGGTTTTCCTTTGGGGGGGGGGCAAACAAACAGTAACATTAAAGTCTCAAATATAAAAATGGAATCTTGATTCTATTCTCTGTACACTATTTCCTGCCTCTCACACATATACATTCAATTCTAAATAGAACAGGACAATACTTATGAAACATTTTCATCTTGGTTGTCATTTATTTTATTTCATTCTGTTAAGCTTGCCATTCAGCAAGACTTCCAACACATTTGCCATTATTAAAGACTGAATTTTGGGGACGCCTAGCTTGCTCATTCAATAGAGCATGCAACTCTTGATCTCAGGGTTCTAAGTTCAAGCCCCATGTTGGGTGCAGAGATTATTTAAAAAAAATAAAATAAAATCAGGGCGCCTTGGTTGCTTAGTCATTAAGCACCTGCCTTCAGCTCAGATCATGATCCCAGAGTCCTGGGATTGAGCCCCGCATCGGGCTCCCTGCTTAGCAGGAAGCCTGCTTCTCCCTTCCCTACCTCCCCCTGCTTGTGTTCCCTCTCTCGCTGTGTCTCTGTCAAATAAATAAATAAAATCTTAAAATAAATAAATAAAATAAAATCTTTAAAAACGTCAATCTTTGCAGAAAAGAAAAAAGCATACCTAAATCGTTATTTAGAAAGTTTGCTATTATAAAACAGAAAACAATGTTAAGTAATTTAGAAACACCCAAAGAGCTATGTGATTTACTGGAAAAGAAAAAACACCTGACTATATTTTACTAAGTATAGTACCAATGAAACTTGCTTTGTAACATTTTTCAGTCAAAAATAATTAAAATAGTAATAAAATAATAATGGTCCATAACCATGTTAGAATACTATACAAAGCAAATTAAGAGATACGAACAAAATCTAAAATCTGCCTATGGCATTCCATTAGATCAACTGAAGACATTCCTATTCTTTAAGAAAGATGATAATGGTCTAGCCGAATAGACCAAATAAAATTTAGAAAGTGAAAAAGAGAAATGAAGTATAGTAGAATCTCTGCAATAGTCAAGTAGCAAATGCACTGAATTGGAAATGGTCCAGTCCCAACTCTATTACTTAGGAATCATAACATAATAATTTGTAGAGATCTACACTAGTTCAAAATCTTCACTGCAGATGACGAAGTAAGTCCACAGAAAAACCAGATCTCTTAGCTCAAAGTCAAATGTATTTTCCATTATATCACACTTGCTTCTTATTTGTGTGATTCTCCTAAGAATCATATGATTTTTGTATGGCATTTCATAACTATACCCTGCAACATAATACCACAAAAACATAATTAATATATATTAATAACTATATTCATATATATGTGAACAAATGTGAAATGTGGATTACTGTTGAAACCACAATTAGAAAAAATGAGTCTTAAAAATGTATGAATAGACTAACCTTTAAATGGGTCACCCATACCATTTCTGTATGTTGCTAATTATCAAGTCTAGGGTGCCATCAAATACTATGTATTATATAAATTTTATTAAAGCCTGTAGCCAAAGATGCAAAATAATAAAAAGATTCATATTAGCTGTGAGCAGATCCTTTTCTCCATTATTTTAGTGTTTAAACAGCACATTAATTTTCAGAATACCTTGACAGCAAATTATACACATGTGGAATCTTTTATCTTTACTATGGCCATTTCTTTCAAAAAGGGAAAAAAGAGAAAACTACTTTCACTATAATGCCTTTACTATTTCCTGCAAGGATAAGCAGCTCAACCTTTTCAGTTCTCCACATTAAGAGAACCAACAAAAACACACATCTGAGGAAACATAAATGATTAAAAGCTTCAAATTCCTAGATTCTAACATTAATAACCGCCAGAGGAATTTCTACATAAGGAAGAAATTCATAGTCTCTCCTCTTTTCAAACTAACACAAAAATGATTTTGGTACCTTGTTCATAGCAGAGATGGGCAGCCATCCATTCTGTCTTTGGGCTAAATCCAGGACTGGAAGCACAGCTGCTGCTTTATGTCCTTCTGGATAGTTTTTTACAATTGCCTCTATCCTCTGTATCAAAGAAAAAGCACATATTTTGATATATCTGGAAAATATTAAATATTTTATAAATTATACTGTTAATTTAGTCATACCTTATAGTTTTCTGGTGTGAAATCAAATGGAGTATCTGGGTTATTCTCAGGAGTATCTCTGTGCTATATAAAGGGAAAAAATATTTTCCAAAATTATCAAAATTCCCTCAAAAGTATGAACAGCTCTGTATATTACTATACTACTACTGATGACTTAATTTCTTCACTTTAATTCTGACATTATATAATCTATCCTTGCATCAAAAAGAATGGCTAATTATTAAATACACATGACTATGATTAACAAAGTAATGTTAACAGAATTCAAAATTTCAGAAAAGTTTTAGAAATCACTCTTTAATAATTATGAGAACTAGTTGTAGGACCAAACCCAAAAAAAGTATTATCCAACTTGATTAGAGAACAGGATCTTCTAATGTAATTACCAAAAACCCAATCGCTGGAAGACTTATAAAATCAAGACACAAAATTTTGAGTATGCACGTAACATGCATTGTTCCAAAAGTGTGTATCAGATTATCAAAAGGACCCACTGTGTTAGGAAGGTACACAAGCACGACCTCTTCCCCACATAACAAAAACTAGTTAATGGCAAGAAGCTTTATTTCTTTTCTACAAAGAGAACAGGCCCTCTTAAAAAACTGACAAGAAATGGCATGTCAACAGGAAATCAAATGAGTCACACTGAGATTAACACTTACATCAATTAATGTTTAGTATGTTTGGTGAACACAGAACTGAATCCCTCAATATGTTAACTCTTAAAGTTCTGCTTTTTCAAAGATATAAAAGAGGAAAAGAAAATGGAAACTTTGGACAATGATCTCAAATATGTGGCAAATTTAATACTTTTAGACAAACATGAAAAAATATAAAGCTGGAATCTACTCAATAGATGGCTAACTCATTTACTAAGACTCAGCCTGGAAATAATTCAGTTAACAGAACTGTACCACTAACTCTAAATCATCCTACAAGGCCACTAAATTGCCTTTAAACAACACAAGATTGATCCCTGAAAACTGCGCCTTATCACAGAAAGGAGATACATTATCTTATCTCTGAATTGTACAACTAAGCTGGTGAGTTCATGGACATCTACCTGTAGTTAAAACCTGGAAACCAAAAATATAAAGGAACTACTAATGTATTCACTGTATTACTAAAATCCATGAGTTTTAAACTAGTGCCATTTTGGGATTCCCCAAGTTGCAGCCACAGAATCTTTCGTCAGCCAATATGACTGATTTTTAAGAACCCAAAGTGAGACTAGAAATCAGTTTAGGGCTCACAGTAATTTCACCAAAAAAATAATGTCAATTCAGAGGTACCCTGGTGTCAACTTAAACTCAAGAGGTTCAACTGGAATCACACATCTTTTGAAATTTAATGAATTCAATTAGCTATACTTAAATCACCACAATGGCTAGCATATACCAAGGACATTGGTGTTTAAGATATCTTGGATTGTTACAGTAGTTTTACCCAAATTTCCAAGTCTTTCCATTCTGAAGAAATTGGAGTAATTACTTACCACAAATAAGGCTCCTCCAGCTCCATTTTGCACAGCTGTCTTATGTAAATTCCTTGTATGTCTCCCCTAAAATTTTAAGAAAATTTAGTAAATCATAAGCCTTAAGAAATTTTTCATGAGTAAATACCTTAAGATCCATAATTTAAAACAACAGACTCAATTTATATAAGTAAAAGATCTTAGGAGATATGGCTCACTGTGCTACACCCTGCCCATCTCTATTTCAGGAGAGGTATAAAGAAATGGAAATCCAAGGTAAGGTTATTAACTTGCCTAAGATAACACATGAGTCCATGGAAGAACCAGGTCCACAACCTATATATCTCCTAAGTCATGTACCCTTTCTACTACACTCTCGTCAGCATGCATTAGGAGAGTTGATATTCCATTAATTTATGGCCTTTCACTTTTTTCTGAATCAAGCTGGATGCCAGCTTTCATTCAATGTGGGCTTTCATAAACATGTTTTCATTCTGTACAAATGAGTCATATACTCTTGCACAAATGAGTCAAGTATAGCCCCCTTTTCAATTCTTTATGAATTAGTTTAGAAACTCCAGCCATAAAGTTTCAGAAAGCTGCTTATGATGCTAAGCAGTGACCATAGTCAGCCGTTTTAGAAGGAATCCATTTGATTACTTTCCGTTGCATTTTATTTCTCTTTGCCCTGTTGCTCCCCCCAACACCCTTACCACCCTCCCTGCCACCACCAAAAGCAATTCAATCACTATTCAGAAAGCCTCTGATTTCTGAGTTCTACTAATCACACAATGGTAGAACACTGGATTAAACCAAGCATGAAACTAGCAAAAGTTGGACAATTCAAAGAAAGCAAATATAACAGAGAAGTAAAAGCAGTGATACAATCATGTATTTAACTTTTCCCTAGGTCCAAATATTTCAGTTGAAGAAATAAGTTTATGTAAACACTTGTTTAACAAGAAAAGATCCAAGTACAGAATGTGGCACATACAGAATGACTAAAATTAACAAGTCAGGAAATGACAGATGTTGGTGAGGATGCGGAGAAAGGGGAACCCTCCTACACTGTTGGTGGGAATGCAAGCTGGTGTAGCCACTCTGGAAAACAGTATGGAGGTTCCTCAAAAAGTTGAAAATAGAGCTACCTTATGACCCAGCATTTGCACTACTAGGTATTTACCCCAAAGATACAAATGTAGGATCCGAAGGGGCACTTGCACCCTAATGTTTATAGCAGCAATGTCCACAATAGCCAAACTGTGGAAAGAGCCCAGATGTCCATTGACAGATGAATGGATAAAGAAGATGTGGTGTGTATGTATACACACACACACACACACACACACACACACACACACACAATGGAATACTACTCAGCCATCAAACAAAAATGAAATCTCGCCATTTGCAACAATGAGGATGGAACTAGAAGGTATTATGCTAAGCGAAAGCAGTGAATCAGAGAAAGACAATTAACAGATGATCTTACTCATATGTGGAATTTAAAAAACAAAACAGAGGAGCATAAGGGAATGGAGGGAAATATAAAACAAGACGAAATCAGAGGAGACAAATCATAAGAGACTCTTAATCACAGGAAACAAACTGAGGGCTGCTGGGGGGGGGTGGGTGGACAGGGTAACTGGATAATGGACATTAAGGATGGCACCTGATATAATGAGCACTAGGTATTATTCAAGACTGATGAATAACTGAACTCTACCTCTGGAACTAATAATACACTATATGTTAATTGAATTTAAATTAAAAAAATTTTTAAAAGAATGTGGGACATAGGTATAAAATACAGGGTAAATATCAGTTTCAGGATAATGGGGGCAGGGAGGGGAGAATTTGATCAGTACATAAGGGGGCTTTAACTCTGGTTGTTTTTGTTTTCTTTCTTGGGCAGCAAAAGGAACGCAGTGCTTATTATATTCTTTTTGCTTTTCTGTGTCTTAAACACACAAAAATTTAAAAGAAAAAAATAAAACACATCAAGGAGATTGTTTAGGTTCTTGTACTTTTATTCAAATTCTCCCAAACTGCTTCAGGATCAATCTATGAATTAAATACAAGATTATACTTATACCCCTGATTTGCTTGTCCAGAACCTAGACTGAGATAAACATAAAACTAAGGCCATAGTTCCCAAATAATACTGTTAAAAAAAACAACACCAGCATAAAGCTTTGAAAAATTAACTGAAACTAAAATTTAGAAGATAGTCCCTGCCATCACTTTAGCTGAGATTTGTTTTTAATCAAAGAACAATTTTTACTGAGTACCATTAGTGAATTACTTAACTAAATTCTGAGAAGAAACAAAAGACTTCATAATAAAGTAAAGAAGAATGGATTTAAGAGAACAGAAAGCATCCAGTCTCCTCTTTTCCTAACTTCTGAACCCTAACATTTTGTTTACTTTACTGACTCTTTACCCACCCCCTCAGGGGAGGTTGTCCTCAGGGCTCAGCTCTGTCCTAGGTTCTTTTCTCCACAGATTTTTTTGCCCCTTCAAGCTTATTTATTCTCATGTTTAACTCCATGCTGATGACTCCTGGATCTTACACACATTTGATGACAAAAAATTAACAGCCTGAAGAGATCATAAACACATATAAGTCAATGAGGAAAATGAATAAATATGAACAAAAATGTCATAATATAACTGCTAATGAACTAACTAGTAATTTAAAACATGCATGTGATCATCAAGACAGCAAGGTACTGGCACAAAAACAGACACATAGATCAATGGAACAGAATAGAGAGCCCAGAAATGGACCCTCAACTCTATGGTCAACTAATCTTCGACAAATCAGGAAAGAATATCCAATGGAAAAAAGAACAGTCTCTTCAATGCTGGGAAAATTGGACAGCTACATGCAAAAGAATGAAACTGGGCCATTCTCTTACATCATACACAAGGATAAACTCAAAATGGATGAAAGACCTAAATGTGAGACAGGAATCCATCAAAATCCTAGAGAATACAGACAGTAACCTCTTTGATCCTGGCCACAGCAACTTCTTGCAAGACATGTCTCTGAAGGCAAGGGAAACAAAGCAAAAATGAACTACTGGGATTTCATCAAGATAAAAAGCTTCTGCATGGCAAAGGATAGTTAACAAAACTAAAAGGCAACCTATGGAATGGGAGAAGATATTTGCAAATGACATAACAGATAAAGGGCTGGTATCCAAGATCTATAATGAGCTTATCAAACTCAATCAACACCCAAAAAACAAATAATCCAGTCAAGAAATTGGCAGAAGATATGAACAGACACTTCTCCAAAGACATACAAATGGCCAACAGACACATGAAAAAATGCTCCACATCACGTGGCATCAGGGAAATACAAATCAAAACCACAATGAAATAGCACCTTACACCAGTTAGAATGGCTAAAATTAACAAGACTGGGAACAACAAATGTTGGCAAGGATGTGGAGAAAGGGGAACCCTCTTACACTGTTGGTGGGAATGCAAGCTGGTACAGCCCCTCTGGAAAACATGAAGGTTCCTCAAGAAGTTAAAAATAGAGCTACCCTACGACCCAACAAGTGCACTACTGGGTATTTACCCCAAAGATACAGATGTAGTGATAAGAAGGGGCACATACACCCCAATGTTCACAGCAGCAATGTCCACAATAGCCAAACTGTGGAAGGAGCTGAGATGTCCTTCAACAGATGAGTGGATAAAGATGATGTGGTTTATATATACAATGAAATCTTAGTCAGCCATCAGAAAGGATGAATACCTACCATTTACACTGACATGGATGGAACTGGAGGGGATTATGCTCCCATCCAGGTACTAACCAGGCTTGACCCTGCTTAGCTTCCAAGATCAGACGAGATCGGGTGCGTTCAGGGCGGTATGGCCGTAGACTGGAGGGGATTATGCTAAGTGAAGAAGTCAAGCAGCAAAAGACAATTATCATATGGTTTCACTCATATGTGGAATATAAGGAATAGTACAAAGAATAATGGGGGAAGGGAGGGAAAACTGAATGGGAAGAAATCAGAGAGGGAGACAAACCATGAGAGACTCCTGACTGGAACACAAACTGAGGGTTGCAGAAAGGGAGGTGAGTGGGGGCGTGGGGTAACTGCGTGATGGGCATTGAGGGCACGTGATGTGATGAACACTGGGTGTTATACGTAACTAATGAATCACTGAACATTACATCAAAAGTTACTGATTTATTATATGTTGGCTAATTGAATTTAAATTAAAAAAATAAAAATAATAAAACAGGCATGTTTAAATGAGATAACATTTCCAGCTATCAAATTAGTACCGGTTTTTCTTTTTTTTTTTTTAAAGATAACAGTTCTGTTGAGTGTATGGAAGTAGGTATGCTTATACATTAGGTAAAAATTGATACAGCCTTTTAGGAGAGCAAATTGATATGGTGTATGGACAGACTAAAGAAAGCTTCCATCTTTTAATTTATTAATTCTACTGCTAGAATTTTATCCAAAAAACAGTATAAAATGAGGATAAGGGTATATACAGAAATATATTCTCTGTATTGTTTTTACAGAACACAAGCAACCAAAAGGCCCAACATAGAAAGGTTTTAAATAATAATTCCAACAAAAATCATACTGTGTAGCTGCCAAAAATTGTATTTTCTAAAAATAATGACACTGAAAGATGTATTTATGCCACAATCACAACTGGAAAATATCAGGGTTAAATAAAACAAAAAAGCATAAACTACCATCCTGATTTATTCAATATAGACACTAATGAAAAGACTGGAAGGCCATAACAATTTAAAGTGCTTATCTCTGTTATTATGATGTTAACAAGATTATAAGGGAGTCTTATTTTCATAGTTTCTTGTATTTTTCTCTATTTTCCAAGCTTCTTATGCAGCATGGATTAATTGACAAACAAAAAATCTTATTTAAAACAAAACATTCATCAGGGTGCCTGGTTGGCTCAGTCAGTTAAGCACACAACTCTTAATTCCAGCTCAGGTCATGACTCAGGGTCCTGGGATAGAGCCCCAGGTGCAACTTCACACTCAGTGGGGAGTATACTTGAGGATTCTCTTCCTCTGCCCTTCCGTGCACGCACACACACAATCTCTCTCTCAAATAAATAAATCTTAAAAAACAATAAAACATTCATCAAGTACAAAATGAAATTTACCACCTCTACTATTAATCCTACTTACCCTTCCAACTTCCCTATATATTATCAAATTAAACACCACTAATTTCTAAGTTAAAATACCTTCAGTTTCGGGTCAATATTTGATCCCTTCCTCATTATTCCAGTATCTGTCACATAACTTTACTTAAAATGAAAAATATGGGAAAAAAGAAAAATACCGAGATAATCTTGAAAATTGGTCTCTGGGGCTAGGTAGCTATATATTGGAAAATCTATTTTGAGGCACTCTGGCTGACCTGTAATTCTGGATATGCACATGAGCTTACACACACAGGCCCTTCTACCCAAAATTATGTGTTTTAAAGTCCAAATCATTGAAAACAGACTACTGATTGAGAACAGTCAGGAAAAAAACAGCTAAGCCAAAGAAAAAATGCTGGAGTTTCAGATTTAAAAAAAAAATTTTTTTACTAACATGTGACTTTACACAAGTCACTTAATTTTTTTAAGACTCAATTTCTGGGGTGCCTGGGTGGCTCAGTTGGTTAAGCGACTGCCTTTGGCTCAGGTCATGATCCTGGAGTCCCGGGATTGAGTCCCACATCGGGCTCCCTGCTCAGCAGGAGCCCTGCTTCTCCCTGTGACCCTCTTCCCTCTCGTGCTCTCTACCTCTCATTCTCTCTCTCTCAAATAAATAAAATCTTTAAAAAAAAAAAAAAGACTCAATTTCTGCACCTATAAAACAGGGATGTTTACTTACTGGGGTGCTTTGAGGTTCAAATAATAAAGTTTCTCTGAAAATACTATATAACCTATTAAAGCATTATCACATTTGCTTAGCTAATAGGATAAAACATTTAATAACTGAAAAATGGAAGATTTAAACAACTGCATTTTAAGAACTAAACAGATTTTAAAAGTGCACTTTGTTAGCTGACTCAGAGTCACTATCACATTGTCACAAAGATTAGTGATAGCTTCCTGAACTTCCACATAATTATTTTTATTTATATCCACATAAGACCATCAATTTTTCTGGTGAAAGTATATTATAGATGGTTGAAAAATACTATCTCCTCTCTCATCAGTGAAATTAACTTATAAATCTTTTTTTACTTAAAGTGGGGGAATAAGTAATAGTGCTGGTAGACAATTTTCATGTTTCTGCACATCTCTGCACCTGAGAAGAGGCACTAGCCACTGACACCTCTCGCTCCAGACTGTCTTTTCAAGGATTTTTGTAGAGGATATCTCCCTCTCAGGCCAACACTGGGCAAGTTCTCTTGCAGCTGGGGTTGGGTTCCTCAGTTACGATGCACAGCATTCACCCAGGTTGCTCCATGTCACTCCCATGGGATGTGAGGGTGAAGGAGAACCAATATGAACACGAAGTTTATGCTACCCTGCATGGCCTGAGTAATAAAGTCCTCTGTCTCTGACCCAGGAGTCTCAGTCAGCATCTACTAGACTCAAGCAGTTTAACTTGTTGGCTGGGAAGTAGGGTAAAATCTCAGAGCCTTCACAGTTCTTGACAAGAAGATAAAAATCTACAAATACACCAGTCTGCATGTCCCACTAATTTTTCAAAATATAGACAATGTTATAAAATACAGAATATAGAGGTATTACAAGAAACCAGTAACAGTGGCTGTCTCTGAAGAAGGGGATCAAGATGTGGAGTGGGAAGGAAATTTACTCTTTAATATATGCAATACATTTAATATATTCACCATAATATATATATATCCTTGTACCCCATTCTTTAATGTATATTTTATACTTACTATAATATATATATCCTTGCATACTGTTACAGTTGTCATGTATATGTATTACATTTCAATTTTTTTTAAGATTTTATTTATTTGACACAGAGAGAGAACACAAGTAGGGGGAGCAGGAGAGGGAGAAGCAGGCTCCCTGCTGAGCAGGGAGCCCGATGTGGGGCTTGATCCCAGGACTCTGGAATCATGACCTGAGCCACAGGCAGACACTTAACTGACTGAGCCACCCAGGTACCCCAACATTTCAGTTTTTAAAAATGAATATTTAGTCCTTTTCCTCTCTATCACTACTCCATTTCAGACATTATTCCAGGCCTGTGCATTACTCTAATAGCTTTCTAGCTGACTCTTCCCTAGTCCAAAGCATCCTGCCTAATGTCGCCAAACTAATTGTTGAAATACTGTCTTTCTGACAGTGGAAAGGGACCAATACCAAACAGGTCAATTTCATCATTTCTAAAAGCCACATTTTCCACATTCAACATCTTGGGAATTGGGATCTATCCCTGGTACTTAATATTCCATAAATATACTATTTGCAGAAAGACAATATAGCTGAGTTGTTAAAAGCCCAGCTCCAGAGCCACTTTCCTCATCTATAAAATTGTACTAACAACAGTACATACTTCATAAGACTGTTGTAAAGATTAAAAGAGATAATCTATGTAAAGTGCTTAATATGCTGCCTGGCATGTAGTAAGTACTATATTAGTTTTACCTATCATTACCTATTATTATAGAAGTACTATCTGTCAGTCACTAAGCTTTTTACACATTATTTAATTCTCACAACTTTCATGAAAGATGGGTATTATTTCCAGATTTAAATGACTTATGAAAACTTCTCAAGATCATGTAACTAATTACTGGTAGAACTCACACTGGATCTTAGGGCTAATGCTTACAAGGTTATGGGCTTATTATTAGCCACCTGAATGGAACTATTTGATGATAATGAGAGCTCCAGAAGTATAGAGTAGATCTAGGAAATCAAGCAGTTTAATGAAGAAAACCCTGGAATGCATCCATATATAGGGAGACAGATTAGAAATGAAAAGACCTGCCTCCTCCATTGGCTCCCATGTTCCCATTTACAGGCAGAAGTATGTACATATGCCCTCTATTTAAAACAAGCTATTTACTGTTTTTTTTTTTGTTGCTAACATTTAGACCTTTATTCTTTTTTTTAAAATTTTTTATTGTTATGTTAATCACCATATATTACATCATTTGTTTTGGTGTACTGTTCCATGATTCATTGTTTGTTCATAACACCCAGTGCTCCATGCAGAATGTGCCCTCCTTAATACCCATCACCAGGCTAACCCATCCCCCTACCCTCCTCCCCTCTAGAACCCTCAGTTTGTTAACATTAAAAAAAAAAACAGTAAATATCACGCTTCTGTTCCTACAGAAAACCTAAGGCGGGGCAGGGCGGGGCAGGGCTGCAGGCACCCACCAGATGCTATGGCCACCGCACCGGAGCCTGGCGACCCGCCAAGGAGAAGATGGAGAGCCACGGAGATTAAAAAAAATACATATATCCTACAAGTGATCCCAGTTAGTGGCAGAGCAGAGACAAAAACCCAACTCTGGATTTCCAGCTTTTCCCGTCACACCTACCCTCCCCGCCTAGGTGTAGCTGCCATGTCGTATCAACAAAGAATCAAATCAAGTGCAATTTCTTATCACAGCCCTTTAAGCTCCTAGGAATTTTACGTGTTGAAAACATTCCCTGTGCACGGGATTCGATACTGTATGGTTCATTAGGACCTGTTGTGGCTGGCCTTGGACATTTTTTGTTAACTAGTAGGATTAGAAGATCATGTGACGTTGGAGTAGGAGGATTTATCCTGGTGACTTTAGGATGCTGGTTCCATTGTAGGTATAATTATGCAAAGCTAAGAATCCAGGAAAGAATTGCCAGAGAGGGAATTAAAAATAAGATTTTGTATGAAAGTACCCACCTTGACCCTGAAAGAAAACAAAGCCCCAGCAAGAGCAGCAGTTGAGCGGAATCATGCTTGAAAATACAACTCCGTGGAGTCAGTGTGAATAAAATGGAGAGCAACTCGATTAAACCTCATATGTACCATTAGACTTTCAATCAAGTAAATAAAAGATGTGTTGGTTGTAAAAAAAAAAAAAAAAAAGAAAGAAAAAGAAAACCTAAATATATATACATTAGCATAGCGTTTAAGCAACTTAATTTCAATGTCTGAAGCCAGAACTTCTTCAAAACAGTAGGAAAAAGGCTCAGATAATTTGTTTATAAAACAATGAACAAGCAAAATAGGGTAAACTGATAAATATTAGCCCTCATTGTTACTCAACTGGCATAAACTGTTACTCATTCCTATCAAGTTAGCACATGGCCATTTTCAAAGCTGCCTTGTTTTTTGACATCTTTAAGAGCTTCACGAACTATTTTACATTCATTGTAACATCCACATCAGACACTTGCAATAAAGGAATAAATTAAGATATAAAAAGTCTGAATTAACATCTTTACACTACTTAATAAGCCATTTGAATTTAGTTTCACCTTGGAATGAAGAGGCATTCCAGGACCAATTATTGGTACTGGAACTGGAAATAAACAACTTAGCTGGACTGGACTGATTTTAAGAGTAAGCAGTTTTCCCCCTTAAAGTATACTCTTTTCACCAGACTAGAGTCTAGTTTCTCACTAGACTCTAAAGTATCTATTGAATTCAGTGAACGCCAATGAAAATTCAAGTAACTTTTTTTAAATAGACAAGAATAGTTTGACATATAGCACAGAATTAACAGTGGACTTCAATTCCAGCTTATTCTTTTTTTCAGAGTGTTTCAGAAGGAACAGAGATTTACAACGGGCAAATAATGGCAGTGTTTTCTTTAAATTCAACTTGAATCGTTCTGTGTTAAGTACTTCAAGATACCTTTTTTCCACTGACTCCTCAAAAATCTATGGTTAGTTATTATTTCCATTTTACTTTTAAAGAAATTTAGGCTCAGAGACAGTAACCTGCCCTATACCACACAATTAGTGACTGAGATGAAGTCTGAGCCCAGGCCTTTTGGATCTAAGTCATCTGCTCTATTAGCCCTTCTCTTTTTAATCATCATTTGCATTACCAATACTACTAGCTCAAAATGAAAAAAAATTAAATTTTATATTCTTCCACCCACTCCCCAAGAACAGAATCTTTCATGGGCCCTACATTTGTTTTCTTAGTTTCTTCTGTTGCTCAAACATTAACAGTATCCACTCTGCTCACCTTTCAGTTCTATCAGCTATTTGCACTATGAAAGGCCACATCCAGCCAGAGGAACTTCATAAAGGATAAGGAAGCTGCAAAACAAAACTGACAGAATCAGTAACCTAATTAGTCAGAAAAACAGGACCTAGGTCAAGCAACTGAAAATCGGTGTTCTCCTTTATTAGCAACTAATTCAGGCAAGGAATATACCTCTCACACTACCCCTAAACATTTACTAATTAAATCCATAATATATGTGTGCACCTGCAGGGAGGTCACAACTCACATGTGAAACATCAGGTAAAGGGAAAGTGATACTGGCTCCCTCTGTACTTTCTTGCCATTGTTCACCAATTACCTACTTGCCTATTACCTACAGCCTCCCCCACTGCCAGCTCAAGCAAAAGCCATTTCTTTCAGCTTTCTAGAGCAGACATGCAGAGAACACAAAAAGCTCCAAGAGTCTTTGGATATGATACACTCAAAGTTGGTATTTCTACATCATTTTAAATAAAAGTTTTCAGTACATTCTAGTTTAATAAAGTAGATGATGGCTGCACAAATAAAAACTGTGATACCTATTTCAAGGATAGTGATAATAAATACAAGTGCTTACTCTCCATCAGATACTGTGCTACAAACTTTATAAATACTATAACTCATTTACTCCTCCCAGCAACCCTACCATATAGGTATTATTATCATCCCGTTTTAGAGATGTGGAAACGAAGGCTCAAAGAACAAAGGAAAAAAATTTCCCTAGATCGCAGTGTTAAATAAATGAAAAGCCAAACATAGGTTTGCCTGACATGAACCTTAACCTTCACTTTGCCTTAACCACTAAAATTAAGTTTTGTTATATTTTCAAATATACATGGGAGGGCTCTTACAAATGTCTTCCAAATAAAGTTCCAACAATAATTTAACTAAAAATGTTAATTCAGATTAAAGAAATCTAAGTGATTTTTCTAGCACTGTAAGAGAATTAACAAGCAAAATCTGGCCGAAAAAGTTACACCAAAAGCCAGGTTTTTGTTCTAAGGATAGGAATACTTCATAGAAATGAAACATCCAAACATCATTTCAGTCAGTAGACCTAGGTTCAGTCTCATCTTCACCAATTATAGTACTGTAACCTTGGGCAAGTTACTCTACCTCTCTGTACCTAGGTTTGCTCACCTATAAAGTCAAAGCATAGTACTCATGTACGGCCAACTATCATTATTATTATTATTGGAACTTTAAATAGTAACACTCCAGTCTCCCAATTTTCTTTTCTTCTTATGCCCCTAAAATGAAGGCAATACGCCTCAATAATCACAAAAACAGATGAGACCCTAAATAATTACAAGTTAATTTTAAGAGCAAACATTCATGTTCAAGTTTAAGTGATTTTAAGAGCTTTTAACTTAAAGAATTAACTGGTAAAACTTAAGCACGTTTTTTGGGGGGGGTTAACTTGAAAATCAAACAAACATGAGCAAATGCTGTATAAATGTAAACGATTTTATTTTCTCGCCCTAAGGACTAATACTCAAAATAAACATATATTACTTAAAATTTAATAAGCTTATGACCAGGAGGAGTTCTGTATGTGTATTTTTAAAGCATCATTGGTCATTCTTGTGATCCAGTTTGGGAATTACTGCTTTAGGCTATATGGTATCTATACCCTAGCATGCAGGTGATGGATTTTACAACTGGTCTTCAAAATGTAATGATGCCAAGAACAAGAAATGCTAGGCAATCTTTTCCAACCCAGAATCTTTGCAAGTACTAAAGAATATTAAGAAGTATTTAGTCAGTGATAATGAGGAACCTCCTTCTCCATACTTCAAAATATTGAGGATATGTACTACATATTGCTATAAATGTAGTCATCTGAACAGAGCATGACATTACCTGTGTTTTTCAAACTGTGTAATTTTTTCATGGTACTATCATGATAGTCCCTTAGGAACAAAACTGTATCCATCATGCAGAAGTTAACCTCCTCCTCTCCTCCCCTCTGCTCTCTTCCTTAAGTACAGTGAAATCACTTCTCTAGTCTGTTCACATTGACAAACCCTTCTACTATTACAGCACCTATTAAGTTTAAATCTTCACCATATATACCAATTTTCCTCAGTAAACTTGAACTTAGAAAAGCACTTAAAAGAAAAAAACAAACCAATGGGACTTGCAAACAAAGCCAGTTCAGGCTCTTACTACTGTGTAATTTTGGGCATATTTGTCTGGGAATCTTCAGCTGTCTCACCTACAAAATGGGATAACACCCAGGAAAGTATCCCACATATAAAGCACTTTCCCTCTCTAAGAACAAGGCAAAAAAAAAGGTGTTTAAACATGTTGTCTTTAGTGCTTGTTGAATGAAAATAATTTCCTACAACTATGTTTCCTGACCTGAAAGTGGTGGGTAAGTCAACGTTTCTCAATGGAAAACCAAACTGACATGGTCAATGAATCTATAATTTATTACCCAAAGTACTGGGCTGATATTAAACAGTGGCCAAAGAGAAGGGAAATTCAGCTATTCATATCTTTGAAATGCAGACTGAGTTCACATGTCCAATACAAAGATCTGAATTTGTAATGTGCAACAGTGGCCTGCTGAACCTCACTGATTAAAAAATTTGTACATTTTCTCTTTCCCCTTAAGTATTTAAGGCCATGGCAGGTGGAGTAATGATGCCCAAAAAATACCCACTTCCTAATCCTGGGAAACTGTAAATATATTAATATGCATAGCAAAAGAGAACTATGGCTGCAGATGGAATTAAGATTGCTAATCAGCTGACCTTAAAATAGGGAGATTCCTATTCTGACTTACCAGGGTGGGTTCAAGGCAATCAGAGAGCCCTTTAAATGTGGAAGAGGGAGCAAAAGAAAGGATATGTCACAAATGATGGAAACAGAGTCAGTGATGTGAGAGCTTAACCTGCCCTTGCTGGCTATGAAGATGGAAGAAAGGGGCCATGAGCCAACACATAAGGGCAGCTTTTTCTAGAAGCTGGAAGAGCCAAGAAAACAGATTGTCCCCTACAGTATTCCAGTAGCTCTGCCAACACCTTGATTTTAGCCCAGTGAGACCCATGTCAAACTTTTAACCTACAGAATCACAAGATAATAAATCTGTTATGTTATGTCACCAAGTTTGTGGTAATATATTAGAGCAACAATAGAAAAGTAAAATAAATGCTTAAAAAAAAAAAAAAAGAACTCCTTTAGAGTCCTTGAGCCAAAATGGAGATACCCTGGGACACTGCAAAATCAGGTTTAAGAACCTCTAATGGAATGGGAAAACATTTCATTCTACAGAACTTAAAATTTAGAAAGAAAAATGCCACCACAGGAGGTTCCACTTGTAGAGTAGCTGAGTAGATATTATCAGGCCAAACCACTAACAACTATAAACTCTGGACAAACTATTTTTTAAAAAATAAAAAACCCAAAACACTTTCCGAAGGCATTGGAGAACAATGAAATGCAGACAGACACAGAAGGGGCGTCTATACTTAAGATGAAGCCAGTGAAAGTTTTTTTGCTTTACACTTTACATATTTTAGCCTGAAGGCAGACCGCTGTCAATCCTGCGCTGGGCAGCTAAAACTCTAAGAGAAAACCTGTAGCCTTAATGGCTTAAAGAACCACAGGACAGTCTGGGACAACCACAGGCATGATGGGAAAGTGGGAAATCCAAGAAAAGGAAAAGCCAGAGGGAAGCCCCAAGTTCTGTGCCTGACCCCAAACCATGCATACACATGGGGCCAACTCCAAGCAGCCCAGCTAAAAGAACTGAACCAATATTTGAGCTGCTGCCCAAAAGGGAGTTGGATTATAGTTCAAGTTCAATTGAGTTAACAGCCTGCCACAACAAAAACACTAACGGAGGGGGGCGCCTGGGTGGCTCAGTCGGTTAAGCGGCTGCCTTCAGCTCGGGTCGTGATCCCAGGGTCCTGGGATCGAGCCCCATGTCCGGCTCCCTGCTCAGCAGAGAGCCTGCTTCTCCCTCTCCCTCTGCCTGCCACTCTGCCTACTTGTGCTCTCTATCTCTCTGTCAAATAAATAAATAAAATCTTTAAAAAAGAAAAAAAAAAAACACTAACGGAGGAATTAACAAAATCTAGAGTTTCTATGACATATCGTTCACAATGTCCAGGATAAAATCCAAAATTACTCAACATAAAACAACAAAACAGCCCATCTTCCAGAAAAAAAAGACAATCAACCACGCAACAATTTCAAAACTGCTGAACCCATGCTTAAGGACATAAAAAAATGTATCTTCAATAAACGAAAAAAATCAAATAGAAACTATAAAAAAGAACCAAAACTCTAAAGCTGAAAATACAATGTTTAAAAACACCACAACTCCCTCACTCTGACTGAACTAAGCAGTGGCTTGGGAATGAGGCAGTGATGAGCTGCAAAGTGATGTCAACATTACAGAGAGCCGTGGGAAATTACTGAAGAAGAGAATAAGCCTATTCTGTGTATCTACTGCTCCATAATTCACTTTTTAGGCAATTCTTGATAATCACTAACTAAGGTATTACTGTACTTTACAGGAAAAAAAATAAGACTTAAGAAATTAAGAAATATGGTTCAAGGTCTCGCAACTATTGTCTTGTAGGCACTTCTAGACAGTACTAAGTTATGGGTATTTTTAAAGCAATGATAAACTGAAGTCTGTAGCTAAAGAAATTGGCAGTTAGCTAATACAACAGAAATTATAACAAAATAAGCAATTTCTTTGAAAATGTAAATGGTTTCCTTAATGGTTTCTCTTTTAGCAAAGGAACTTTATTAGTAGGACCTCTTACACTTTTCCTGATTTTTCCTAGGTCATTCTGGTATTCTATTTTAAAAAAAGATTAGAAGGGCCTGGTTATATAAGTTATAAAAAACATCCTCACAATGGAATGCCACACAGCATTAAAAATGGCAGTACAGAAATGTTTACTGGTAAGGAAAGTGGATCAAAAATGTTTTGTGAGAAAAAACAGCCTACAAAACAATGTGAACAATATCATCCAATTTTACCAAAAAAAAAAAAAAATCCCATCAGGCCTGTTAATTGCAGACACAAAAATGTTAACATTTTGGTCATTTCCAGGCTGATGAGACTATGGGTAATTTTTATCTTTTGAGCTTATTCTGTTTGCTGTTCCTAATATTATGTTTTTCCTACAATCAAACCATCATGCTGTACACCTTAAACTTCCGAGATTTGTCAATTATTGCTCAATAAAACTAGAAAAAAAATGAAAAACAACAAAAACTTAGACTTATTCATCAATTCAACAAGTATTTCTGGGGTTCATACTACATATGATTCAGGTAATATTGGTACAAAGAAAAAACAGCTGCAGAAACTAACATAAGACTTGATTGAAATTTTCTTCCACTACCTGAATATGTTCTTTTCTATTGTTTAAACTCCTTTTCAATGTATACCTCTAATAACCCTTTGCCTCAAAAACTGAAGAAGTTAAAATCTATCTGTACTTTTATTTCTATCTTTTCTATTAGTACACAAGGTCTGATCCTCATCACCTCTCACCTGGGGTTCTGCAAGAGTCTCTTACCTATTTAGTCTCTCTGCCTCTGGCTCTGGTCAAACATATTCCCTCACTCCCATCCAGCCATCTACCCAATACAGAGAAACCTGACCTTGTCTCTCTGCTCCTTTAAAATCCTTCATGGCTCAGCACTGCCTCTAAGATAAAGCCAAATTCTTTGGCATGGCATGCAAGGAGCTCCGACATCCGGGCCCTGCCCACCTCTTATTTCATCTCTGGATTCACCTTACTTCCAACAATGGAGTCCAGCAACACTGCTTGAGGCTTCTTATATGCACCAAGCTTTTCCCTGCCAACTATCAACAGACTTTTCTTATGTTGTCCTTTCTACCTATCATATTCTCTCCCTAATATATGTGGCCTTGTCACCAATTTGTTAGTATCGCCTCCAGGAAAAATCTTACACGACTTTCAAACCAAACTGACCTTATTCATATCTCTTAACACTGTACTCTTACACTGTATGATATTTACTTCAAAGTTTCTCTTACATGAAACTATCGACTGCACAAGAACAGGGATTGTCTAAATCTGTTTATCTGTAATATGGGGAAATAACAGTACCAACCTCACAAATGAGATTTAGAATGTAAACATTTAACAACGTGTGCTTGGCACATGGAAGTATTCACCAAATGTTACCTATCATTATTATCCACATTGTTACCTATCATTATTATCCACCAGCAGTGCAGGACCTCAAATGTTTATTGAAAGTCTAAACTCTGCAAATTGGAATATCCCTCCCATTTTATGACCAAGAAAACTAAGTGAGAGACATCACAGCCCAGTGTCACAAAGCTAGAAAACGCAGGGAAACCACCAAACATACTCAGGTCTAACTCTAAAGCCCTGAAGTATGCTATACTACTATGCACTTTTTCCCTGTCTTCTGCTAAGAACTGACTCAACCTTTCTATTTTACTGCTAGGAAAAAAAAAAAAAAAGCGTCTTTCCAGTAAATGCTGTTAAAATCGTCATTCCTGGAGTCACCATTTCTAAGTTAACCTGAATGAGTGTTTCGACCCGAGACTCAATTTCCTTGCCTACAATAAGTTTATGTACTTGAAACTCAGAAGCCCATTCATGCTCTTAAAATCCTTCTGGGTGCAGTATTTGTGGTGGTGTTCTTTCACATAGTACGATACGATTATTTACCGAACTTTTCCGATATGCAAAATACGCTCTTCACTACATCAAACACCTCTCCGCCTAAGGAAACGCTCTCTACGCTTTCAACACGCAAGCCAGAGCCTACAATTTCAGAGTCCTCTCCAGTGCGCTGCAACCTGACAGCAAGAAGGTCATCAGGCTTGATAGGCAAGGTGCCTCCTTTGTGGGCGGGGGGTCTTAGAAACGTATCTGGCCGACGTAGGCCCGGCCCCTGTTCCGCGACGGGGCGAAACAGCAACAGACCACCGGGCGGCCCCTCCTTCTTCCTCTCCTTGACCACATTAGGCGTAAACTTCCCAGTTCTGTGGGGGAGGCCACGCACCCGCCGCAGCTACGACTGCGACCCTCCCTCGGAGCTCCTCGTTCGCAGTGGAGCTGTGGCGGCCTGCCTGGCTGGGAAAGGGCGAAGGCCGCAGTGTCCTTGCCGCCGCCTGCAGGCCGTCCAGAGCCAAGCGCTCTCGTGTGCCCACCACAAAAGGAGACATCGAGAAAGAGAAAAGGGCGGAGGCAGTGCCTGGGCTCATTCCGAACCTCCTTACCCACAGGGCCGTGAGACCAGCCGCCTTGCCCCGGAGCGCCGCGGAGAAGAACATGGCGGACCAAACCGTTGGCCTTTCCCGGCGGCAAGGGGCGAGAATCCCGAGCGAGCCTGGGACGCACGGCGTGCGCGCTCCCGAGCCCAGGCCTATGGCGTCCAGGGCGGCGCGCCCCTCCCTAGGACGAGGCGGCGGGGGCGCGCGGAGGCTCGAGGGGGCTGCTGGGGCCCAGTGGGCGGAGACTTCCCCAGGAAGGGGCGGGGCGAAGACCAGCCAGGTCCATAAAAGGCTGGGTCCCACCGGCTGTGGCTGGGGTCTCAACCTTGAAAGGAAGCGACCGTGAGCTTTGCGTAGGGCTTCTAGGGAATGTAACGCTGATCTGCATTTATGGGGTGAGCTTCCATCCTGGAGAGCCTTTTGGGGATTTAACCACCTACTTTTTTTTTTATCGTGGTTACTTAAAAAAAAGATTCCGTTGTAACTCCTTGTAAATCATATTTTACAAGTTATAGACTTGAAGATGCAGAAGACTGCCACCGAGTGAGGTGGACACTAAATGCCTTGTTTCCCAGACTTTTTCTTTAGATATGTATGCTGACATATTTAGGGGTGAAATAATATATCTGGAATTTGCTTCAGAATAATGAAGATATAAATGAAACAAGATTGGCTATGAGTAATGACTGAAGATGCGGTAGTTCTCATGACTGTTCTCAGTACTTTTGTACATGTTAGAAATTTTCCATAATAAAACAAAACAAAAAAGCCACTTCCTTCTTGATGTTTGTTTGGTCATCTCTGGAAATTCCAGCAAGTATTTACTCAGTAACAGCCATAATATGCACAGTGCTGTTTCCTGCTGTGTAGAGTTTACCAAGCACTTTACTGCCTCTTGATTTTCCCCTTCACTGCCTTCTTTTCTTGTGTGTCATGTCCTGTACCACCCCTTCGTTTTGCCCATTTTCTTTGCTAAACTTATGAATGATCTCTGGAACTTTCAAAGCAGTATAGGAATTTTAAATTTTTATTCTTCATTAATTTAAGAACTCTAAAGTTTTCCATTGCAACCACTTATGAATCATATTTTACAAATTATGAAATTCAAGTCACAAGAAGGCTCCCAGCTAATGAGCTACAAATAGACACCAAATGCTTCCGTTTCCATTTCTTTGCTTATCTTTTATATTAGTCTGCTTCTCCTAAATTGGTTTCAGTATTTACATTTGAAAGGGAAAAATATTCTGGGCCTCCATGCTGATTTAAATTATTGTATTATAGGGGCGCCTGGCTGGCTCAATCAGAGGAGCATGTGACTCTTGATCTCAGGGACATGAGTTCGAAGCCCCACGTTGGGTGTAGAAATAACTAAAAAAAAAAACTTTTAAAAAAAATCAGGAATCTGCTTTTAAAAATAAATAATTATTGTATTATAAAGTCACCTAAATATATATACACCCAACACTATTATACACATAACACTGTGTCTTATACAACTAAAACCAAAATATATTACAAATTAAATACAAATGGATGATACTGATATGGCATGGATTCTTTGAATCTGGTACATGTGCATTCACTTGATTTCTATCATGGCCTTCTCTGACCTCTTGGTCTAGATTAATTCTCATGATACCTTCCTTATATATGCCTGCCTCCACTTTCATTACCACATTTACCACCAGATTATTATTTTCCCATAGGTGTAGAATCCAGCCCTTCCCAACTTGTTTGATTCAACAATTTGAACTATACCCGGCATATGGAAGACATTCAATACTTGCTATCTGAATGAAAATCTTACACATGGTGCAAGTATGTGGACTCTCTGAAAGAGTTGTATGTCTCTGGTTAGATTATGCTTAGATACATGTATATCAGTGAGAGTGCTTTTCCATACAAGTAACAGGAAAGCAAATGGAAGGAAATTAAACAGTTTTGAGTTCATTATATCACATGAAAAGAGTTCCAAAGGTAGAGCAGTTCCAAGATTAAATAACTCAGTTACTCTAGAATGTCCTTAAAAACTTGAGAGCCTTCCATCTTTCTACTCCACCATACCGAGCTGTAACTTCTGTTATGGTCACAAGATGGCCGCAACAATTCCAAGTATCATATGCAGATTACAACATTCCCCAGGAAGAAAAAGAACTCTTACCTTTCAGGGGTCTCAGGTCTTCCTCCAGCTGACTTCTTTATCTCAGCGCCATACCTGTCATGGTGGCCAGGAGAACAGGCTCTAGAATGAGACTGCTGGTTCAGATCCTATATCTACTGCTTTGTAGCTGTGTGACTTTAGGCAAGTTTGTCTCTCTGGGCTTCTGTCTAGTAATAGTACCCTACCCATTGCTTTATTATGGGAATAAAATGAGTTAATGCCTGTAAAGTTCTTTTTAAAAGTACTGAGCATAGGGGCACCTGGGTGACTCAGTCAGGCAAGTGTCTGTCTTCAGCTCAGGTCATGATCCCAGTGTCCTGGGATCGAGCTTGGGAATCCTCTGTAGTAGGATAGCCTCTTGTGGATTCACAGTCCATGGAGTAGGTGTATATCTCATTGGTTTCTAATAGTCCAAGCAAGGACTTAGCAGGTGTCCCTAATTTCTGTTACCTAGGAGCAAAACCAAAGAGTGCAAAGAGTAATGTTCAAAAAGTAAGGATCAGGGATGCCTGGGTGGCTCAGTCGGTTAAGTGGCTGCCTTTGGCCCAGGTCATGATCCCAGGGTCCTGCGATCGAGTCCCACATCGGGCTCCTTGCTCAGCAGGGAGCCTGCTTCTCCCTCTCTCTCCTTCTGCTTGTGCTCTGTCAAATAAATAAAATCTTAAAAAAAAAAAAAAAGTAAGGATCAGGGCTAAAGGAGAGTCTAGCCTGTTAACACTCCCTTGAAGATGATACCGAAAGTAAATGCTTTCAACAGTCATTCAATGGCAGTAAGTGTAATACCACTTCGTTCACCAATCCAAAAGATCTGTTAATGTCCAGCATGACTTTGGCTTATCCTTAACCCACATAATTCTCAAGTGAAAACATTAGGATTAATCTTCCTCACACCTGATAACATGAGTTCATTTCTAGAGTCACCCCACTTATAAAGTAACCTAATACATAATCAACTATTCTTCCCAGAGTCTTTAGGATAGAATTGTAGGGGATGTATGAAAAATCCCTGTTCTTCCCTCCACTCTCAAAGCCATTGTTTCTAGTCACAAACCAACACATGCCAGGGAGTTAAATGTTAGTGACCTAACCACATAGTCTTGATTGAAAATGGCTTGATTACATACTGTAATGAATATTATATCTGCCTGATTAGACATATTCCGTGATTCGAAATTAGTGCAACTACCATTAGCCCAGGGAAGGGCTACCATTGGCCCTACCTATAGTGGTCAACCCTTTAATTAAAGAATGTGTGTGGGGTTTTGGGGAGCAGAGAGGAATGGGGGACTAGGAGCTAGGAGAACTGGAATAAAGTCAAAGGGAATGACCAAATGTGGGAACTTGGGCTTTGCCATTTCTATGATTTCTTCTCCATTTAAACTATCACAAACAGGCACTAGTGAGGACATGGTATAATGAAAACCATGAAATCAGAGGGACTTGGATTGCAATTCTGACCTCATCTCTTACTAGATTCTGTGAAGTTTTGATCCTCAATTTCTGCAAGTATAATTAGAACATTAAATCATCCTCCTAGATCACATCATACTTATTAAAGCAGTCTCAGACACATCATAGCGTGCTCTGCCTCTCGCATGCCTTCTAACAATACTGACCGACCTCATCAGGTTTTCTAATGAATAACATGAAATGCAGCATCAGTCTTGCTTTGAGGGAAGAAGAGGAACTGAATCAAACTCAAAGGAAGGGGAAAAAAGAGATAAGGTTATTGCTGGATGAGTAAGAGACAGTTTTAGAGAGAGAAGGGAATAAAGGTCCTTCAAGCAGGCAATTTGAGGATGCAAAGAAGGGTGATGTGGTCACAGTGGTACACTGAGGTGTTAGACCTGTTTCATGCTGTTTCACTCTGAGATGAGGGGGAAATGGAAGGGTAATGAATAACCTCTTCATTGTCTTTCCAAATTCTTCTCAAGGTAATGTTGGATATGTGGGACCAAAAGGGAAAATGAAAATCAAAACAGCCAGTAATTTAACTATACAGACCTCAAGAACAAACTGCCTAAAAAAATAATAAGCAGAATGTCACCTGAGCCATTATCAGATTCAGGTCACTTGTTACTTCCCTAATGTGGGACTGAATCTTAGTAGCCTCTAAGACTCAAGTGAAATTTCCTCTAAGAATTTGATCAATGAGGGGTGCCTGGGTGGCTCAGTTGGTTAAGCATTGGACTCTTGGTTTTGGCTGGGATCATGATCTTGGGATCCTGGGATAGAGACCAGCATTGGGCTCTGCACTCAGTGGGAGGTCTGCCTGAGATTCTCTCTCTCCTTCTCCCCCTGCCACTCCCCCTGCTCGCATGCAAATGTGTGTGTGCGCTCTCTCGCTCTCTCAAATAAATACATCTTAAAAAAAAAAAGAATTTGATCAATGTTTCCCTATCAAGTAATCATTGTAATGAAACAATGAATATAATTTTTGCTCAATAGATAGGTAAAATTTTAAGATTGCTAACTGCTGGTATTGGTAATATGTGGAGCAACAATCTCTCATGCAATGATATAGTAAAGCAAATAAGATCAGCCTCTCCAGAGGGTAATTTGGCAATATATATTGAGTTTCTTTATATGCAAACCCTTATATCCAGCAATTTTACCTCTGTGAATTTATCCTAAGGAAATAACTGGAAAAGTCTACAAAGTTGTATAAACAGATACATTCGTCACAGTGTTATTCATAAAACTGAAATCCTGGAAGCCATGTAAATGATTATCATCAACAGAGAGTTGATTAAACAAATCACAATACAACCATACAATGGGATGTTGCTCTGCAGGTTTAAAAACAGTAACAAAGATTAATATTTATTTTAAAGGAAAGATGCCCATGATATGTTAAGTTGAATTTTTAAGATTTTATAAAACATCGTGTATAACATGACCACATTTTTGTATGTGCAGAGAAAAAACTGTGGAAAGGTACACATCAAAATGTTAACAAGAGTTCTCTCTGGGTGATTGGATATAAGATAATTTTCATTTTTGGGGCGCCTGGGTGGCTCAGTCGTTAAGTGTCTGCCTTTGGCTCAGGTCATGATCCCAGG